ATATCGATTACTAAAGAATTAGTTACTTTATTTTTAATACATTACTTCAAACGAGTATCCATTATATATATATATATATATATATATATATATATATATTGAGAAAATTAAAGAAAATGTCAAGCCGAAATCAGTCTGAACGCATTGGCCCAATTTCACACTTGCATTGCACATTAGAATTCCATCTTGAGTTCCTTTATATTCAAAGTAAATTGGTAAACAAACAATGCTTATTCCATTATCGATCTTTCTGCAACTAGACTGCCTTCTCACACTCTGGCACGCATGCGCTGCAGAGACGCACTGTTCCAAACCCTTGTTCGGGCTGTCTGTCCAATCAACAGCCACTTGCATGTGGAACGTGTTCTTTTACAGTCACCTTCGAGGTCAATATACTGAGAAAGGCTTCCTGAAGACACACTCTCATCCAAATTGCATCCACAGATTCGTGGTATCGGCGAAAGATAATTCAATGTTTAAAACATCAAGCAAAAAATGAGATGGACAGCCGATAAGTTATGAAGGAGAAATGCTGCTGAAATATTCACTTGTCTAAATCTTAGACACGATCACTTTGCACTTGAGGGTGACTCTTAATGATTAAAACTAATTAAGGTGCTTTTTCTTTTCTTTTTTAAAGTTCAACCAATTCAAGCCCCAAGAGCCACTCACGTTAGATTGTTATTGAATGAGGTTCGTGGGCGTAAGAAGAGGAAGTAAAAAGTAAAAATTATTAAGATAGAGAATAGATAGAATTAACTATAGACATGAAGAGATTAAGATTATAGTGTTCGAGGAAGCAGCCATACCGGAGTTTATTTCCCCAATTTAGTGGTTCTTGGGAAGAAGCTATCTGAGTGACACTCCTTACAGATGGACTGCGTATAGAATTAGGAATATTTAACCCTTTCGTCGTAGCGAGAAGGTTCCTGACAGTAAGGGTTTGAACTTTGGCACCGAAGAATGGAGCATGTATGAACCTTTGCAATAGAAGTGACATTATACTAGCGATAGCTTGCAACGTTGCGTCTGTGGACTGTAGGTTAGAAAATGTCACCACCCACAAGGCCGCGTAAATGAGTTTAGAACTCTGTGGGAACAATAAACAATTTTTAACTCTTACAAAGATAAAGCATAACAGAAGGAACCAGGTAATTTTTGGAGTCATAAATGGAACAGACAATGTCTCCAGCGTCTCACTTGAGGTCTTGGGTGAACTTAAGTCTCAGCAGACGTTCAAAGCAAGTAATCTCATTGTGAGTTCAATCGCTCATCATCACTTAAATGTTTGCTCAGATGATGAAACGTTAACATGCTGGTTTTTAAGGTATTGAAAGATACAAGCTAGTTTGAGCTATTATGGCTAAGTCAGAGCCGTGATCAACTGCTAGCCTTTGATCATCTTGATCTTTGGAGGCGCTACAATAAACTGATACCTTCTGCATAGATATTTACTACTGATCTGAGGATGTTCTTAGGCTAGTCTTTAACATGAAGTAGAAAGAAGATAAGACCAAGGGCGAGTACGCGGAAGAAAGCACTAAAACCGGTAGATACACCTAGACGAGATCGCTAAGGGGGGAGTTTATTACGTTCTGGCGATATGTTGAATCTACTTTGACAAACAACTCCAGGGCCATACAAATCAAGATCAAATTTTCCTATTTCTTAATACTTTCTTTTCCTTTTGAAGGTATCTTTCGCTATCTCAATGCACCTTTGAATTTCTATGACACGTTTTAACATTTCCCAGATATGCAATGTGATAGGCCTGGTATCTCGACTCCAGTCACGTTCTCACAGACGTGATGTGACTTCCTTCTGTCTTTTCTACAAATATTTTCATGGCAACTGCTCTGACAAGCTATTTTCACTGCTGCCCCAAATGCGCGAATTTAAGCGTGCGACTGGTCTGGCATCTTCGTCCCACTCTTTCACTGTCGAAACAGTTAAATGTAACCGCCACTTCTACTCCAAAAACTTCTTATTTCGCACTTCTCGACAGTGGAACTTCCTTCCTCTTCTCTGATAACTATAATCTTCAAATATCCAAATGTAATATCAATCGACATCTTCTGATGCTTTAATCTTGATCCCCGTCCTTCTCTTTATCCTTTCCTAAAAAAAACCCTCTTTAATCTTACTTTCATTCTCTGCAATCCCTTGTGTGCTAATTGCATTCATACCTTGCTTGGAGGGGGGGTAAACTTCTGTACTTGCTTGTGATGTCTCTAATTCGTACCTCACATCTTGAGTTGTCCATCTTGCTAATGGCTATCCATGTTGTCTTCTAACAAATAGTCTTTCTTTTTACTAACCTTATCTGGCAGTACTTGCAGTTTTCCTTTAGTGTCATTTGCGTGTTTTATACCGATCCCTCCCTCTCGTGCAATGGGAGGGCGCGGCCTCGGGCAGCTGTTCCCCAGGGCTGGGCACCTCTTCAGTATAATTTTCCTCAGTTGCCCCTCTGTCTTTTGACAGAGAAGCCCCTGAGCGCACTCTGTCCAAGGACAGAGACGCAACTGAGAGATGATAAATAATGCGAAATCCCCCAAAGGAGGGATTTACGCACTTTATTATTATTATTATAATGCACGGTACCTTAAAAGGTCAAGGAACCCTGATGGGTCTGATAAATGTTAAATTTTAAATAGCATATCTTTAAAAATTTTGTCTAGCATGTTGGAATCTTCAAGTTTTCTTGTTGTTCAATAATAAATGAATTAGTCTATGTGTTCCTGTTTTATCCACGTTTAATAGAGGTTGTCGTAGAATTTAAAGAGTGCGTGGCTAAAAATAAAGAAAGGAAATCTTTAAGCAGAAGAAAGAAAACATCTTCTTTCCTCTTTATGTGCCCTATAAATTTCAACTGTCTCTTCCTGATATTAAGTATAAGTTACTTTTTTTGTTTCCATTTTCTCTGGTATACTCAACAGCCTTCTGTAGAACTGCATTTCTGTTGCTTCAAATATCTTCTTCATCTTTGAGGAGATTGTCCAGCATTCGCTGCCATACAGGAGGACATATATCACGTAATAATCCGGTATTATTTTCTTTGTTTCTAACGAAGTTTTTTCTGCTTTGCAAATAAAATCTGTTTCATAAGGCTAACATTTCAGGAAAATATTTCCTACTGAAATTTCATTAGAATCTAAGACTTCAGAAATATTAGTTGATGCTATATGTTCCTTCAGTACGTTAGCGATCACGACTCTCCACAATTTCTTGTCCTTTGTAGCTCTTAATAAAAATTGTCTTTTCATTATGTTCCCTAAACTTCGATTTCAAATATAGCTTCAACAAAATTACAACATGAAACGCACATATCACCGCCTCTAGTAATTATGTCCACACTAACAAGTATAGTAATTATCCAAGCGGAGATAGGGTGTGGCACAAAGCCGAAAGTGAGGGGCACCTAGTGAGGATTGAAATCACTACTCAGTCATAATTGTTCTAGCGAGACAAGCTTGCTAACCATTACACCACCCCGAGGTGCCCTCACACTAACAAGTATATGCACAAAAGCTGAGTATCATCTACCATATATTCAATTGTGAAAGCAGAATAACATTATATTTTGACTACAAAACTTCCAAGAAAATTAAAATTCGGCATTAAATTGATAAATGTGTTGAAAAACAAATCAAATCCCTCATATCAAATCTCTCACGTTCTATCATCCATTTACTCAATCTCGCTAGGTAGTTCATACATTATTTTCCTCTATCTCTCTTGTCTTCAATGTCTTGTGAGTATCAGTTTTACCAAGCCCTTTTTCCTTTTCTTGTCCTAGATGATATAACTGTTTCTTTCTTATTCCTTCTGGAATTATTATGTGATCATCTTCTTATTCTTCTAAGATTCATGTCACTTCAGTACGTGGGTGATCATTGTTCTCCACAGCTTCCTTTCCTTTATAGCTTAGTAGTAAAGGTTATCTTTTTGCTATATTTCCTAACCCCTATTAGGACAACCATTTACGCATGCTTGTTAGTCATGTCATGTGCTGCTTTCCCTCTGCTCCATTTAGCTTCAATTTTTCCCGTGAGTGTCAAATTTTCCAAGCCCTCTTTCCTTATTATGTGCCCTAGAGATTTCAAAAGTCTCTTTGTGATGCTATGCATAAGTGTCCTACGTCGTTGCTCACGTTCAGTCTATGGTATTCTCAGCATCCTTCTGTAGAACAAGGAAGTCATAAGTCTCCAAAATAAACATAATACTGAAAACACTTCAGGTCAGAGTCTTGGAAAACAACAGAGGCGTTTAAGAAATAAAGAAAAGGAGTGTAGCGTAACCCAAACTACTTTCCGTTATAGTTTCGGCATTTTCTCACCTGTCGACACAACGCACATGTCGAAGATGAGCCAATTACTTTAGACACAGACCTAAAACTCCCACTGAGACGTTGTCGCACATGCAATAACGTTCTCTCGCCCAGGAAAAACATTCTGTCTCACGCCCTCTGCTACATACAAATAATTTCTGAGTATTCGCAGGTCGAGGAACAACGCCAGTCGAATAGCAATGGAAGCCGCTACATCACCAATAGTATTCGCATAGATTCTTTTCAGGAGCCTTTTCGTTTCTTTTTCTGCTTCCCGTGTGTGGCCTTCTTTTGCAGTCGTTCATTGATTGCGAAACTGCAAATCCAATAACAACCTATCGATCTCCTCCGTATATTTCTATTCAACACGACCTCACTATCGTTTCTTTCTACTTTCCCATCTCTTCCTGCCCGTCTCTCCATTACTCTCCTTTCTTTCAATACCATTTCCATTTATTCCTCTTTCTTCTTTGTTCTCTCTTTCTCTTTCATTCTGTTCGCTCTTAAAAATCCCTTCTTTCTTCTTGCATTTTTTCTTTCTTTTTTCCCCTATTTCTTTCTCCCCTTTCTTCATTTTTATGTTTCTTTCTTTCTTCTAGATATTTTCGCTTTCTTTCTTTCAATTTTTCGTCCATTCTTCATTTTTCCGTTTTCTCTCCTTCAAGATATTCTTATGCCGTTCCTTCCTTCCTTCCTTCCTTCCTTCCTTCCTTCCTTCCTTCCTTCCTTTATTGCCCTATTCTTCTTCTTCGGTTCATTCCCCCCCCCATTTCCCTTTCTTCATTCTAATATCTCCTTCCTTCCTCCCAACATCCCTCCCTTCCTCCCTTCTCTGTTCCTGTTTCTTTCTTATTCATTTTGTATTTGTTATTTTCTTTTTACCTCCACTCCATTTTTCTTTCTTTCTTTTTTGCCACATTTCATTTTTGTCTCTTTTTCTTTCATTCCCCCGAGTTCTTGCTTCCTATTTTCGCATATTTTCCTACCTTTCGTTCTCCATTTTCTTCTTTTCTTTTTAATACTTCAAACGTTTTGTTTCCTTTTTTTTCCACTTCTCTTCATTTTTTTTTTTTCTGAATCGTATTTCATTCCTGCGTCTCTTTCATGTATAAACAATTATTTTTTCCATTCTTATATTCCCGGCCATTATTTTTCAATTTCTCTTTCTCCTTTCTTTCCTTCTTTTCGTCTTCGTATTTCTTTCTTATCATTTTACGATTTATCTCATATTTCTTTCTTGATGTTTTCTTTCTCTTCCCCCCCCGCTTTATTCTTGTTTTATTTCTTTCCTGAGTTCTTCCTTCTTTCTATTTTTGTTTCCTTTTCTATATTTTATGCCCACTCGATTCTTCTACCAATCGTTCTTTCTTTCTTTCTTTCTTTCTTTCTTTCTTTCGTTCGTTCTTTCTTTTTTCGTTCTTTCTTTCTTTTTCTACCCCCTCTTAACACGCCTCTTTCATTTTTTGCTTCTGTTGTATTCTTTTATTCCTTCATTTTATATATACTGAAATGTTGTCGGTCTGACACACATCTTAAAATCAATAGTTCAATGACAAAACATCTGAATACTTTTCTTTGGAGAATGAGTGAAGCCAAAAATCTTTCAGCATCCATATGTCTATCTATCTATCTATCTATCTATCTATCTATCTATCTATCTATCTGACCGCCTGTCTGTCTATCTATCTATCTATCTATCTGTTTGACTGTCTGTTTATCTTTCTGTGCCTTGTTGCCTGTCGATCTGCCTGCCTGCGTATCTATCTATCTATCTATCTATCTATCTATCTATCTATCTATCTATCTATCTATCTATCTATCTGACCGCCTGTCTATCTATCTATCTATCTATCTATCTATCTATATATATATATATATATATATGCCTGTTTATCTATCTAAAAGACATATATGAACAGGCATATGTATGTGTGTTTTTATCGAAAATACATGGCTTTCTTTATTTTCCCCAAAGAGAGGGAAAGAGAGAAGAGGAGATAGGCAGCGGGGGTGGGGAGAAAGTTAGGGTAGAGAGTGGGGAGAGAGGGGAGTATCAATGAGGAGATAACGGAGAAGAGAGGGAGGAGAGAGAGAAAGGGGACGAAAAATGGATAGAAGGAGAGAGAAGGGGGAAAGAACGATGTGTATAAATGTAAATTATACCCTCTGTTCTCTCCTTTCTTTTCTCTTTCTTTCTCTCTCCCATCTCTCTTTCTAATCTTTCGTCTTCTTCCACTAAGCGCCCTCTCGTTTCTCTAATCCATCACGTTCAGTGTCTTTAAATTCCAAAGTCGAACAATGAGCTCACCTTCAGTATTTGAGACTGTTTCAGTCTATAAAAGAAGTTTCGTCCACTGTCTGTATTCTATAAACCTTGTCTTGTGCCAGACCGAGCTGACGTTCTTGTCTTAATTTTTGGGAAGGAGCCTATTGTAGAGCAAGGGTTAGCAAGTTTCACAATCTAGGTTAGAAGCTGCATGCAGGACTAAATTATCTAAAGCGACGTCTTGTCTGTTAATCTCGCAATACATTGTTCGTGAATTAGAGACTCATTCGTTGCTTCAGTATTGGGATCCTATCAGACGACATTGTCATGACTATGTTGTTATATGCACCTATTGTTGAGTTATCCTTTGCAATTTAATCTTGCAAGCTAAAACAAGAGAGTTCGATTCTTACTGAGTGCCTAAGTATTGTAAGATCCTGCAAAATAAATTCGATGTTTCGAAAGTGACATATTGTAGAGCGAATAACCAAAATAGTTTCGCAATTAAAAAACTGGGGAAATTATCGGAATCCTTATCCGATTACTTATCTATCTAAATGTCTTTCTTCCGTTCGTATTGCAGATTTCAATTCCTTTTTCTTTCATTCTAATACATTAACAGTCGTTCTTCTACCATTTTATATTTTCACTTTCCTTTTCCTTTTATCTCACTCTGTCTATTATCGCTCCCTCTTTTTTCTCCCCCAGTCTCTCTCTCTCTCTCTCTCTCTCTCTCTCTCTCTCTATCTATCTATCTATCTAGATAGATAGATAGATAGATAGATAGATAGATAGAGAGATGGCATATTAGGATAGATAAATATAGGGATACTGAGAGAGTGGTAAAGAGAATTTTAGGAACAGATTAATCCCAAATGATAGATAGATAGATAGATAGAGAGAGAGAGAGAGAGAGGGGAGAGAGAAATGGATACGTAGTGAAAAGAGGGAGTTAGGGACAGATTAATTCCAATACTGACAGACAAATAGATAGATAGATAGATAGATAGATAGATAGATAGATAGATAGATAGATCTGTCTTTCTGTCTGTTTATAGTTGTCTCTGTTTATATATCGCATTCTATTCATAAAGCATATAAGCAGAATCTATCTACCTCACTCTCTCTCCCTCTCTCTCTCTCTCTTTATATATATATATATATATATATGTGTGTGTGTGTGTGTGTGTGTGTTAAGAAAGAGATTGATTTTGTATTTGTTAATCGGACAAATTTTTATTACTTACACGCTATTTTTAGTGGAAACTCGTATTTGAGTAGACGTTCCATTTATTTATTAAGCAGTATATTTATTTATTTTCGTCTACCGGCCAGAATATTCGAGAAATCTTATTAGAGAAAAATATGCGCTCGCCAGTAGAATTCAAATCTGCGTTCCCCTAAACAAGAGTAACCAATAAAAATAACGTTTAAATATCTATCTATCTATCTATCTATCTATCTATCTATCTATCTATCTATCTATATCTCTCTCTATATATATATATATAATTCTGTCTCGATCAATCTGAACATTTCCACTTGTCTCTACATTTTTCTCATTTATTCATTCCTCACATTTTCTTTAATTCATTTATTCTCTCTTCTTTTTTCATTCATTCCTTCTTTTTCCTTTCTATTTCTTCTTTCTTTTCCATTTTCCTAGCTTACCTCTCTCGTCTTTCCTTCTTTCCTCGCCGTTATTTCTCATTCCCTCCTTCTTTATCTTCTTTTATTCCTTCTTTTGTTTCCTTCTTTTACTCTTTTCTCACACTTCCCTTTTTTCTGTCTTTCCTTCTTTCTCTAATGTTTCTTCTCTCCTTTCTTTCTATTTATTTACATCCTTTTTTCCGGCTCATGATAATAAACCAATTTCACTCAACAAGCGCCTCTCGTACCTCTTTCCTCTGTTTCCACGGCACTCGCTTCCTGTCTATCAATATTAGTAAATTCAAGCAGCATGTTGTTCTCCCAGCAGTACCAGACCTGCGCGCCCTACACGCTGGAATCTCTTCCTAACCAGTTCTTGCCAATCTTCTTCGATTTTTCCATTCATGAAGACGAGGTGAGAAAAGGTGGAGATAGTAGCCAGAGGTGAAGCAAAGAAATGAGAAGTAAGGCGAGAGAAAGAATTGAAAAACGACAAAGGGAAACAACGTGAGACGAGAAACACTAAAGAAAAAAAAAAAGACAATAAATATCAAAGGAAAGACGGAACAGAGAATAATCAGAGGGAGAAGGTCGGAGGCAAAAATAAAATTTAAATTACGAAATTCATTTTCTAAAAAAAAAAAAAAAAAAAAAAGAAAAGAGAAAGAAGAAGAAAAACAAGGTGAAGGAAGGATCTGAGGAAAGATGAAAAGAAAGACGATTTGACAACAACAAAAAGGCGGGAAACGAAGGAAGAGGAATTGAAAACTAAAGGAAGAATTTAAAAAAACGGATGAGAAACGGAAAGTAAAAATAAAGAATAAAATGGGATAAAAAATAAGAAGTAAGGAGAGAAGAAACGAAAAAGTGAAAAAAAAAAATTAAAAATGAATAAAAAAAACAACTAAAAATGAAAAAAAAAGAAAAGAAAATTGAATAAAAATAGAAAATGAAAAAATGAGAGGAGAAAAAAATAAAAATTAAATAAAAATAAAAAAAAAATAATAAGAGAAGTGAATAAGGGAAATAAAAACAAAAAAAAATATAACAAATGATTAAAATGAAATCTGTGAAAATGAAAGAAAAAAAATGATTCACGGAAGAAAATAAAGACGGAAAGAAAAAATCGAGTGTAGGAAATGATTTTTCTTTCATTTTTAGCATTTAATTTATTTTTCCTTCCCATTTCATTCTCTCTTTCTTTTCTTTAATTTCTTTTAGCTTCCTACAATTTTTTTTTTTGGGGGGGGTTCTTGATTTGATTCAATTCTGTTCACGGTTTTCTGTTGTTTTTTCTTCGTTACATTTTATCGCTTTCCATTTTATCTCTCTCTCCTTTCTAAACGCGAACCGTGAAAAAAAAACTGCAAAGGGGTAAAATGTGAGAAACCAATTTAATGAAACATTTAGAGGTCAGATAGAAAAATTGAAAAATTAGGAAATATAAGAAAAACAAAGAAAGAGCAAGTGTCTAAAAGAAAGAAAGAAAGAAAGACGGCACATCCTTCTTTCTGAAGGAATGAAAATACGAAAATATGAAAAGAAAGAACTACGGAATAAGAAAAGAAAAAGAAAGGAAAATTTTAAAAAAAAGATGAAGGAGAAATGGAAAATAAGAAAAAAATAAACGGAAAGAAAGATAAAAATGAAAGAAAGAGAAAGGAAAACGAAATGAAATGCTGAATGAAAAATGAAAGAAAAAATAACGAGAAAAGAAAAGTAAACACGGAAGGAGAAAAAGTAAAATGAAATGGACTAAGAGTGAAAAAGAATGAATGAAAAAAGAATATAAAATGAAAAGGTGAATGGGTCTAACAGAATCAACAGCAAGATGAACGTAGGCAAGAAAAGTTGAGCTGTGATGGCAAAAGAAGGGAAGGACAAGGCTTAGTGCCACCATTTTGGAGTTAAGCATGGACTGAGTCGAAGACCGAAACAGCTAAGATGTAAGCGAGTAGGACGGCGGCTGCAGCAGCAGCAGCAGTTGCTGAAGCGAATATAGTGGTGATAGCAAACGATTGGGTGTGATGGAGGCGTCGCGATCATTGTGGTTGGAGATGGAGGATTGTGTTCGTTTGGTTCGATGCCAGCGAGATAAATTATTGAAAGCGGGTTTTCGGAGAAAGTGGGCAACTTGCTATCTTTCGCCTCTTGTGACTAACACTCCCGTGTCAACACAGCGAGCAAGAAAAGTACCAACAGAAATACGGATGCACAATAATAGATAGATAGATAGATAGATAGATAGATAGATAGATAGATAGATAGATAGATAGAATAGACTGGGATAGATAGATAGATAGATATGAACAGAATGAGATAGATATGAACAGGCGTAGATAGATAGATAGATAGATAGATAGATAGATAGATAGATAGATAGATAGATAGATAGATAGATATGAACAGACTGGGATAGATAGATAGATATGAACAGAATGAGATAGATAGGCGTGAACAGATAGATAGATAGATAGATAGATAGATAGATAGATAGATAGATAGATAGATATGAACTGACTGGGATAGATTGATATGAACAGACTGGTATAGATAGATATGGACAGAATGAGATAGATATGAACAGAATGAGATAGATATGAATAGAATAAGATAGATATGAACAGGCGTAGATAGATAGATAGATAGATAGATAGATAGATAGATAGATAGATAGATTTAAAACAGTTGAGAGAAGCCGTCATGGGAAAGAAACGATGTGTGATGGATAAAGACTGTCTGAACTAGATATAACGATAGGTATACTGATAGATATAGCCATGTGGCAGCATTTACATTATATTCAATATTTGAAAAGTAAGCTTCTCTCCTTGCATGTATATATAAACCACTATCTTATTTTATGAATTCGTTCGGCATGAAAAATTCTAGCACGCATACACCCAAAATGGCTACCATATTTAAACGTAATTACAATTGCGTGCACAGCGACGCACGCACACACATGCACAAATACACACACATACACACACACATATATATATATATATAGAGAGAGAGAGAGAGAGAGTGATAGTTGTGTATTGTAGCAGCAATAACTCTCTAATATGTTTCTTTAAATAAATAACATTAAAATTGTTAACGGAGTATGTGTATGTGCGTGTTTGTGTGTATGTGTGCAGGTGTGTGTGTATATACATGCCCAGAGCCGCAGTCATGCACACATATTCATAGCTGCGCATGTACACACACTTAGATACATACTCTGATTCATACATACTTACACACACATACAAGCTCAATAGAACGTGAAGTTTTACATCTATCGAACGGGTAATCGATCACTCGCTCTCTTTCCCAGTATCATTCAATTCCTATCTATCGATCTATCTATTTATCAATAACATTTTATTCTTTTGTAGTTGAATATTTCTCTGAGACAACTCAAATTTATCTCAATCTGCTTTTATTTATCAATGACGCAAAAGTTCACAGAAACACCTTTTTTTTATCAACGTTAGGAAACTCTTAAGAATTGTCTTTCAAATTTAATCAGCTCGGTATTGTTTAAGATTTTTTTTAAATTTTTTTATTTGATTTGTTTAACGGCATATCAATATCTTATGGGTCATTTAATGCCCAAATTTAATTATTTTTCTTGGGAGTTTTGAAGAAATAAAAATACGATATATGTTATTCTGCTTTCACAATTGAATGCATGGTAGATGATGCTCAGCTTTTGTGCATATACATGTTTGTGTGGACATGATTAATTTTGTGCTTTATGTTATAGTATAGTTATATTTTAGAATACTGTTTGATTTCTTTCAGAAATTTTAGTACACTATATGGTGGTCTAACATCATGAAAGGATTTTTTCATGTTGGTAGTTTGGTTTATTGATTTTGTTTGGCGACATATCTACCTCTATAGACTAATTAATGCTGAAATTTAAATATTTTGTACATAATTTTACGCCTTTAACTAAAGATATTTTGTACATCGTTTTATACTTTCAGAGTAAAGGCATGTTTTTGATATATATATTTTGTAGATCATAATATGTATCGTTGGTAATTTTACTATAAAAAAATGTTTTTTTTTATTTTTTAGTGTTGCAAAAATGTATTATTGGTCATTTTAGTACAAAAAATATACTATCGATTTTCTTTGCTAGTTCACTATTTTCCAGTAGCCAGGACCCTAACAGGTGCTACCACTCCATGTCAATTAAGAGGTGGTTCCATGTTCCTCACGACCTCCAATCTCCTGATCATAGATGTTACTGGCGGATACAGTTTATTGTCATACCCAGTCTGTGCCTCGTTTAAGCGTATATACTCTAGAAGAATTCTTTGCATAAAAAGTGCTAATTTCTGTGAAACCAATTCTTCTCTTTTTCTATGTCGTATAATTTCAGAATGTTGGCGATCATGGATCTCCACAATTTCCTATCCTTTGTAGTTCTTAATAAACTTTGTCCTTTTGTTCACCATTTATTCGGCTAGCGCATTTTGCGCAGCTATGGTCAGCACTCCACTCTGCCTGATGCTGACCTTACAGCCTCAACCATCGTCATTCCAGCCCACTTCTTAATATCATCAAACCGAGATATGGGTGGTCGTCTCTGATACCGCTTGCTTACCACTGGGCCTAAAAGAATGTCCTTATCGAAGCCGCATTGCCGCATAATATTCCCGAAGTAGTGGAGCTTCCTTAGTGCCATCTGCTCTCTCAATATGCACTTTGTTTTGATATTTGATGGCGTTAATGTGTCTCGCTGTCCATGGGCCTCTAAGGAGTCTACGATATGCCCACACCTCGATAGCATCAATCCGATGTCTTTCCCTCTTCGTCAGTGCCCATGACTCGCATCAGTAACTGACAATGATGAAAGCAGTGCCTTTTATTAATTTCAACTTCAGGCCGAGGTGCATGTTTCGACTATTTCAGATGTTTCCCATTTTTATCGTAGCACTTCTTGCTATTGTGAGCCTTTCCTTGATCTCCCGCGTAAAGCTGTCCTTAGTATTGGGGTGTCCTTTTGTTAACTCTCCTAAATCTTGTTCTGTCATCCAATTACTAAAACTCGCTAGGTGTGGTTATATATATATATATATATATATATATATATATATATATATATATATATATATATTGTGCTCAAAGCGAGTTCTCTGGCCACTCGTATTCGAGGATAGCTGTCTATTAGGTTAGTTATTCAATCCTTATTGCAGACGCTTTCTCGGACACATTTGTGTTTATTCAACACCCAGTCAACTGAGCAGACCTTAGTTACAGTTTCTGGGAAAGAGAGTGTTATCTAGCGTGATCAACAATTCGAATTAGGCCAGCACGCTCAAGCCCTCGGCCACGATGACTTGTGACTTCGTGCAAGGGTTCCGTCTACACAATTTCACTCACAAGAATTGAGTCAACTCTTTGGCATGGTTTTCAAGCACGTTCCAAAGGTACCGCACGATGGTATCGACCCCTCCAGTCCGATAACATCAGGAAGTCTCCTTCCTGACAAATCGACCATGGTGAGATTCGAACCCTGGTCTCATGGTCAAAATACGAACGTTCTAACCCCTCGGCAGCGTTTCCATTTTTGTCGTAACACTTCTTGCTATTGGCAGCCTTTCCTTGATCTCCCGCGTAGATCTGCCCTAGATATTGAAGTGTCCTTTTGTTAACTCTCCTAAATCCTGTTCTATCATCCAATTGCTAAAGCTCGGGAGGTTGAATTATGCGTTGTTTTCCCCTGATCTTCTTACTTCCAGTCTATCCTGTGAGTATCAAATTTCCGAAGCCATCTTCCTGTAAAATAATAGTTTAGCATGTTTTAGAGAGTTGTATTTCTGCTCTGACGTCTTCATTTTGACCTTTGAGGTCAGATACAAGAAAACAAATGAAGTTAATTTTGATTGGCTAAACTATCGTGGGAATGTTAGATATAGAAAGGGATTTCAGGAACTAAAGTTTTACACGTCGAAGAATGTCGACGTGTTTCTTCGGGTCTGTGAAGCTAGTTAGTAGATGTATATGTTGAATAAGACAGCTAAGTTTAAAATCCCTTTTCTTGATTTCTTTCTTCTCCGGACTCCAAAAATCATTTCGCTACCCGGCCGAAAGATGACAGAAGGAAGAATGCAACATATGAGTGAATCAAGACAGTTTCCCCAATTACTAAAGCCCGATAGGTGAAATTATCCTTTGTTTTCCCCTGATCTTCTTGCTTTTAGTCTATCCTGTGAGTATTTAATTGTTCAATTATATATATATATATATATATATATATACGCGGCACGAAGGGATATAGAACATATCCTTATTATATGCTCTAGAAATACCAAATGTCTCTTTCTGATGTCAGTGTTATTTTTGTTTCTATTTTCTTTAAAACTTCTTTGTTGTTCACATGTTCCGTCCATGATATTCTAAGCATCCTTCTGTAGAACCACATTTCTGCTGCTTCAAGTCGCTTTTTCATCTGTGAGAAGATTGGCCAGCATTCAATATTACCTAACATTTCAGTACTCTTTTCTTTCTTTCCAACGAAAATTCTCGGTTTCATATAGACATTTAATATTATTTACTCTTCCTTTTCAATCTGATTTAGAATAAGATCGTAACTAGATCACAAAGGTTTATTAGAAGAAAGCAAAAATTGTGATCACATGAAGGATTTTTTTTTTAATGCCATGTTCCTTCGGGACGCCGGAGATCATATATTTAATATATTTGTAATGAAGATTGTGTTGAGTGGTAAAAGGACAAAATGCCAGTGAATAATATCCTCCCAAAAAGTGAACAAAATGGGACCTGAAAACCCCAAAATGAAACAAAAAACAACCTTATTCCAATAAAACTTGTATGTACAATAAAATCTATATTCCAATCAAATTAAGAAAAAAATGGTTTAAAAATAAAATAATAAAATGGATTAATTATTAATTGGCATAAAATTAACAGGACAAAAAGTTGACAAAACCCCAGCTCCTTATTCCAAAAGTGTACAAAATCCCACTCACATATATAAAAAGAAATTTAACATTAAAAAGTCAAAGAACTTTTAATTCAAATTTCAGTGTCAAATTGAGACAATAATAATAATATTCAATATATACACTTATATGTACAATATCTAATATATTTATATATACTGCAATATAAAATTGAGATAATAAATACAACATCCAATACATACACTTATTCCACACTCGCAATTTTATCCTCCATTTATGTACATATAATTATGAATAATCGTTTGAAATGAATGCATGCTCCAACTTCTTTTCTTTTAAATATTAATTTAATATTTAATTTAATTTAATATTTAATTTTCATCTGTGAGAAGATTGGCCAGCATTCAATAGGAGGACGGATATTACCTAACAGTTTAGTACTCTTTTCTTTCTTTCTTTCTTTCTAACGAAATTTCTCGGTTTCATATAGACATTTAATATTATTTACTTTTCCTTTTTAATCTAATGTAGAATAAGTACGTAACTAGATCACAAAGGTTTATTAGAAGAAAGCAAAAATTGTGATCACATGAAGGATTTTTTTTAAAGCCATGTCCCTTCTTCACGCCGGAGATCACGACGCTCCACAATTTACGTTGTCTTTATTATCTGCAAATTACCATGTCTTCTTTGTAACGACAGAGGAGTGGGTTCCCGTTTTCTTCTTCAAGTTTGAAATTCAGAGTGTTCCTTTTCTCAGAATGGTTGCCACCCAATACTAGAGATCCTAGCCTACCTTGCTGCTTAATCCATAGCTGGATGGAGAAGAGAAGGGTTCATCCCTTCCCCAAGGAATTTGTATAAAAGTAAGCACAATAGTCTAGGCTGCAATTTGAACTTGGCTCACCCATTACACTACCTGCCCATCCATTTAGAGGTTGGCTTGTTCAATTAAAAATTGAGAATACCCAATTTTTCTGCAAGTCTGCGTAAGGTAACAGAAAACCAGAGAATATTCTTTGATCATTGAACAACCCTATGGGCATAAAAAGTATTCAAAAATAAGAATATTTTATTAGAAACAATGGAAACTGTGTGGAAATGCTAGATCATATCAATCCTTATATATGGCAGTGCATGCTTGGCAGGTTCCTCACAGATCTCTTAAGATAACATAGATATGGTTCTACAGAAAAATGCTGAGAATAACATACACATAACATGTGCGTAATGAGGAAGTTTTAAGGGCAATAGAAACAAACAGAACGCTTATACTTCAGTCAGTCAGTTATGTGACATGTGTGATACACGCTTAAGCGATCGTGTATCTTTCGATACATGACCGTTGAGGAAGATTATTTCCGCAGTAGGTTTCCATTTCTTTCTGCGTTAGACAAGTTGCCATCCAAGGCTATAGAACCCGGTCTGTCCTGATATTTACCCATAGCTGGAAGGAGAAGACGAGAATTCATACCTTTCCCAAGGGTATTAGTACGTGAATGCAATGGAGTCGATTGGAATTCGAATTCGGCTCTCCGATTCCTCAATCCGAGTCGCTGTCCGTGCATCCGTGCCACTTACAATGAGAAAAAGGCAGTTGAAAGTTTGGTACACATAATGAGGAAAGAGAACTTTATACTTACAAGATGTATTGAAAGCAAGATGGACAAAGGAAGACGCCAAATAATCTAGCTAAGAAATGGCATAACAGGGAATGAAAGAGGGAGCAAAAAAAGTTAGAAAGGATAAGAAAGTTATGGAGGGCCAGTGTCCTGAATGGTTATGGCACATAAAAGAAAAAGATTAATGAAAACTTTTGCCTCCAGCAAATACGGTTTAATTTATTTCTTTAACGTTCACGTATTCTCATTAACCATTTTTTTTTTTTAATCTGTGTTTTCGTGAATGTGAATTTCGACAGTTGACCCAAAGTTTTACGTTTTGGAAAAGAAATAAAAAAAACTTTTTCATTTTTAATTTCAGCACTTTAAGACTCATGAAATGTTTAAACAAATATAATCACATATAAAAATTACAAAAATAAGCAACATGAGCGGAGCTCTTCCTTGACCAATCGTTCCCAAATGGCACGACACGCCTCATAGAAGCGGCGGAAGAGGATAGCAGGTGATATGATTTCAACATTTAAAATATTATTATGGATTACTTTTAATTGCATGCCGTATATATACTATGGTTGTAATGGAGTGTCCCACACTCTCTATCGCCTGTGGGGACTGACTATATCAGTAGATATATATAGTGAGCACAGGATATACCTGGGACTCGCTTCGGGAATTAGTTGGAGATTCCTCTCCAGCTGTGCTGGTCAAACTCTCTGCCTTCGGGTAGAGAGGAACCCAGACAAGGCTCTGCCGAAGGGTAGAGTCTCGTCTGGGGTGGTAGACAGCTACCCGACCCCGTGTATACGCGGTCTACGGGGAATTTTTACCCGCATTAAAACGTTCTTCTGCCACATCCTGCCTCGCGGGGAGGTAAGGTAAATAACCTTCCTTCGAGAATTAGTAGCCTGTCACCCGATTCCCTGTCTTTCAGTAATGTATTCTCTTTTACAATAAACCTCTCTTCTTTCATCTACTCGCGTGTTGCTGTCCCTTCACCCGAGTACCACCCTTATCTGTTTGTAACCTCTTTAAGGATACAACAAGTATAAATTGGGAATGGGTAAACTTCTCCGACCAATCGATCGATATAGTTCATC